TGGGTCTCCTCAGGGTGCCGTCGGCCAAGCAGTGTCGGCTGGCGACCCCCAGGGGGAGGGCCTTCTCTGTGGGTGCCCCTGCCCTCTGGAACGAACTACCCCCCGAGATCCGGATGATTCCGGATCTCCTTACTTTCCGCCGCGCCCTCAAGACATGGCTTTTCCAGCAAGCGGGCCTGGCCTAGGGAGGATTTTAAATCGGGTTTATTTTTAAGAAAATTTTAAACAGCACAACTTTAAAATATTTGGTTTTAATTTGGTTTTATTTGGTGGGGATTGTAAATACGTTTCTGTTTTTAAATATGTTGTGAGCCGCCCTGAGTCCCGTCGGGAGAAGGGCGGGATATAAATCAAATTAAATAAATAAATAAATAAATAAATAAATAAATAAATTATCTGTTGGGCTATACTAGTTTCCCACTCTTTGCCAGCCACAAATTTTGAACACACACACACACACACTCATATATACATACATACATACATACATACATACATACATACATACATACGTACGTATATATGTATATATATATATATTCAAAATTTGTGGCTGGCAAAGAGTTAGTGGGAGACTAGTATAGCTATTTCAGGCTCATTAGCCCTCATCAGCTTAGTCACATATATATATAATTTCATCTACTTTTTTTCCTTCTCCAGCTCCGATTCCCTGCTCAACCACGTGGAGCAGCTTCTGCGGGCTTTTATTCTGAAGATCAGCGTCTGCGATGCTGTGCTGAACAACAACCCTCCAGGTAGGACAGTCGGCAGAGCCGGTAATCTAGACGGCAGGCACTGGGTGGGTGGGGGGTTTCAGGCCGATATTTTGGCTTTGTTTTTTCTTCACCCTGAGTCCTGAATGAGGGGCTTCGGTTTGTTTCGAACAGTGGTGTTCCATATGAATTTTCCTTCTAGCAGTGCTGGGAAAATGAGGAAATAGTATTTTTTATTAATATCTGTAACCACCGAGCTAAAATAGTGCAGGAGTTCTCTTTATGTACCTCCCCATTAAATGGGCAGGACGCTTAGCAGGGACCAAAATATACAGGGTGCCCTTGAGTTAGGACCACAATTGAGCCCAACATTTCTGTTGCTAAGTGGGACGTTTGTTAAGTGAGTTTTGCCCCCATTTGACGTGTCTTGCCTTTCATTGTTAAGTGAATCACTGCAGTTGATCAGTTAGTAACCCAGTTGTTCAGTGAATCCGGCTTCCCCATTGATTTTCCATGACAGAAGGTCGCAAAAGGGGATCACGTGACTCTCCCCCCCGGGACGCTGCGACCCTCATAAATATGAGTCAGTTACTAAGTGTCTGAATTTTGATCCCACGACTGTGGGGATGCTGCAACGGTCGTAAGTGGGAAAAAACGGTCCTAAGTCACAATTTTCAGTGTTGTCATAACTTGGAACAGTCTCTAAACGAATTGGTGTAAGTCGAGGACTACTTGTATTTAATCACAGGCTTTAATTCTGGATTGTGCCTCTCTCTCTCTCTCTCTCTTTCTCTACCTTGTTGGTTGCAGGCTGTACTTTCACCATCCTGGTGCACACCCGTGAAGCTGCCACACGCAACATGGAGAAGATCCAAGTGATCAAGGTAAGGAATCACACAAGACTCAGAGGGAGCAGTTGTGTTTCACTGTCTCCACATCGGTCACCCCAACAATTTTAAAAACAATGACCAACGCCATTTTTAAGCATGAAACTCCACCTCGAATCTCGTCCCGGCTTCCGTTTTTACTAGCACCATTTTGAAGCATGAAATGTAAGGGTGTATGTCTACACGTATGTTGTATATAGCATGTCTAAAGGTGTGTTATGTGTACACTTTGAGAGAAAGCAACTAAATTTCATTTTTAACGGGTGCCGTTGTGCCCACAGGAAAAAAATGACAATAAAGATTATCCATCTAAATTCCATCCCAAATCTTGTCCCGGCATTTGTTTTTGTGTTTGGCTTGATCAAAATTTTGACCTTCCAGCCATGACCCTGGCATCTGATTTTGCGAGTTTACTACAGGTCACCAACCAGGTTTAAGAATTAAATTACCGTTATTTGGTCTTCCTTCTCATTGTTTACATCTGCATTCTTAGGCACCACTCTGTACACACTTTGGAAGGATCTACGGAGATTCTCAGACATCCAGGATAAAGGTGGTTTTTTTTTCACGAGGCAAGTGGACTTCCTTGTTTTTCTTTGAAGAGGTTTCGCTTCTCATCCAAGAAGCTTCTTCAGCTCTGGTGGGGGAATGGAAAGATTTATACTCCTTGCAGACAGCTGGTCATTTGCATCTTTTTAGCGAGTCGTTGAGGCCACCTGGAGGTTTACCTGTGTCCTCAGGGTGCAAATGGGTGTGGGGCCTTCTTGGAACTGCTGAAAGGATGATGGATCCACACCCATTTGCACCACTCAGGTGACCCTGAGGACACAGACGAACCTCCAAGTGGCCTCAACGACCCTCTAAAAGGATGCAAATGACCAGCTGTCTGCAAGGAATATAAATCCTTCCATTCCCCCACCATCCAGTCAGAGCTGAAGAAGCTTCTTGGCTGAGAAGCGAAACGTCTTCAAAGGAAAACAAGAAAGTCCAGTTGTCTCTAAAAAAAGCACCTTTGGGACACACTTTGAAAGTAACTCACAAATAAGCCTGGTCAGCGTTAGGAAGGTAGATGCTTTCCTAAGCCTGGTTCTGCTTACTCAGGGGTTACTATCAAGCATAAAGATCTGAAAATGCAGCTGAGCTGCAAGTCCTATGAAGTTTAGTCAGCAGTGCCAGCAGGGGGCGCTAGACCTGTGCAA